ATTTGGCAAGGAACGCCTTTCATAGTTGATTTTGATGATTCCAGCACGACCATGTGGTCGAAATGAGAGGCGTTATGTGTGTGGAACAGCATGTGAACCTACATGTGCTACACCTTATCCGGTGAGAATCAGTTTGACGAGTTTCAGCAATGTTTCCTGTAAAATTTAAAGATCCATTAAGACATGCACATCGCAATGTGTTCCAAATGTCTGCCAATGTGAAGTTGGATATATCCGTTACACAGGATCTTGTATTCCCAAGTGAGGCATAACTTGTTCAACTTTATGGCTTTTATTGTATCGATGAGCTTACAGTGTGCTCTAATTAAGCTAGCTAGCCATATAACTTCTGGTTAATCTCTCGTATAAACTATTCCGCCTTTCAGCTGGAGGGAGTAGAAAGGGAGGAGATTACGGGATTTCTTGGTGAACCGCAGGCACTTGAAAGAGAGCTCCGACCGAAAAAGCCGATTCGTTCAAGTCGACCTATGAAAATTTGTCAAGAGAAACTTTTTTTTGCGAAAACGACGAACTTAAGGTAGTCTGTGATCTTTAAGTCAACGGCTTACAGAAATGTGAAGCACCTTCAGGACAGCCAACTTATGCATTTGAATAATAGGAGGGAAAGTTTTTTTTTCAACGGAACAAGCTGATAGCTCGAGTTTCTGTTTCATTGTTGTGGACGAAAGTGGTGTATCGGCAAGTACTGCTCTATCGCACGCGTATAGTCACAAGTTCTAATCCCAGATAGTATTCGCTTAGGCCAGCAAAGCTTTCCATCCCTTCAGTCCCGCTGAATTTGTACCAGACTTGTTCGCGAGGATGAAAGCGCCGACTTGTACTCGGTTGACCATAAGGAATTGCATAGGAAACATACACATTCAATACGCCACTGTTGTTCTGAAGCGAAGTCGAATGCAGGGCGCACTCCTCAGACAGGATTGATTAGCGCCAACAGAGTTTATCCATTATCGCTTTAGCTCCATTTTCAAATCCAGGTACGCATGCCCTACAACTCGTCCAGTTGTCGTTGTTGTACCACCACCGCCGCCACCAGTCTATCCAGGGCGATATCTCACCTACTATATACCGCCATATCAACCGTACTATGGTCAACAGTTCAGATATTTTAGTAAGTCGTTTGAGTAGTCGTTTATTCAGGATAGACGAATGTCTTCATAGCAGCATGCCAATTAAAATTTTCAGCTTGTTCTCCTTACGAATATTATGTGCAGTGTATTCCATGTGAGCCAGTCTGCAACAGTAATTACTACGTACGTTTCAAAGTTAATCGTTTAACCCAAATTTCTTCCTAGAAAGGGGTATAGTAGCATTTTGATATGGGGGCCTTGGACCTTACAATTAGATGGGTTGTTGAGCAACAATCTCATGTTATTCTCCAGTTTGAGTAAAGGCCGGGAGGGGCCAACGCGGCCCACCTATGTATTTTTGCTTGAGGCTGACATAGGTAGTGGTTTACTGCACCTGGTCACAAAGTCTTCCATCAGATAAGGATAAGAATGCAGAGCAGAAGGCTCAAGGTCCGAGATCCAGATAAAAGTTTCTTAAGTTCAATGAAACTCGAACTGAGGTTGCCATATTGAACCTGTACCTACCAGACCTTAGACTGTAGCCCTAGGCTTGCATCCTCACCAACCACCAAAAAACACTAGTACAGCCCTTTTTAATGGGTGAAAGGGTAGAAAAATCACGTCGTCGTCGCAGTCTGGTTTAAAACAAATTGTGTAACAATATTCGGGAGCAAGGATTGAAAACGTTTTTGTAGTATTTCCTATTACAAATAGTTCACTCATCTAGTGCTACCGTACTAATACTAATATGATACCTCGGCTCAAAAACTTCTTGTCGTCAGCGTCTAATGTCGCCTTTCCAGTTATGCTACCAGTACTGCGTTGACGGATGTACTTGCCGACCGGGTCTTGTGAGGGATATGTTTACAAACAATTGTGTATACAGCTACTATTGTCCCAAAGTATATCGAAGCGGTTAGCTCATTCCCTAGGTGTTTCTAGAATCGGTCAGAAATTCTAGGGCCATAATGAATAAATGGTACAGCGTTTTTAGTTCCGAGTTATGTATATGTTTGCAATACGTAACACATGAAAAATTGGTAACTATTGCTTTTCAAATGTTCACAGCTACTGAAATTACAAATTCAATGATTACTACGTAGATATTGATACAGTAGTAGATGCAAAGATACACTGAAACTGTTAGAAATTGGAAAGATAAAGTCTTCGGTTAATCCATGCCCTATTAGTGGTGTATTGAATATGTATGGCACCTATACAATGACTTGAGATAGCCAGCAAATTTAAAAGTCATTGTTCCTCCCAGACATCCCTGACACTAATCAATCTGCCCCATAATCAAGGAACGATCAGTTGACCTTTGCAGATATCAGCCTGAACTTCGAACTTCCAAGCATGTCTGCCTGATCGTGCGCCACATCCCAGTACACCGCCTCCACCCACCTGGGATGGACCTGCGGTTTCATTAGACTCATTAAGGGAAAATACACCAGACACCGTAAAAGTTGACAGGCTCATTCTTGATTTGATGGATAGATTGGTCATGCATAAGAAAATAAGGGAGTGAAAAAAACCCAGTCAAATTGTCAAGTTGCAGCTGGCTTTTCCATAAAATTATCAGAAATGTCAGTTCAATTAGAGGTATATGTCGGCTACGTAGCAAACCCGACAAAGCTCGCTCGAAATCATTGGTTCTATAGATTACATATGTTTCCATAAATTTATGAGGGACTGGAATTTATTTGCAAAACCTTTAGATAAATGGGGAGGGAAGGGGTGGTGGCAAGCAGCGCACTCACACACACCCGTGGTCTGGGGACCGGATCTTGAATGAACCCATAACCATCCAAGCTCCCATCCCTCTAGTCACGGTCAACTGGTATGGCGTTTAAAACAATAAAAGCATTATGTTGTACATCGGCTTGATCTCGATCGTCCTTGCACAGCCGACGTACTCACTCAAACCACCACAACGATTCTGATTGGAAGTCGAGTGCAGAGCGAATCTCGCTTCTGCAATTGCCTGCAACCTTTTCGATCAACGGAAGGGCACTTGTATACTACAGTCATATTCACGAAGCCAGCTAAATTGCGCAGCATTGAAACCTCTGGTTATGCAATCTAGAACATCAATTTAACATCACAATACGTAATCTAAGCATTTTTATTCCTAAGAAAGACACTTTTTATTCAAGCAAAGTACAAGCCGATCTAGAAATAGGTGAACACGTCAGCTGGGACACTATTTACTATTCACGGTATCGTGAAACGTCGTGGACGAGCCCAATTTACAGATAGCGTACCTAACGGGGATCGTTGTGAAGAAAATTTCTCACGAAATTGTTGACGAAAATCAGCCGATAGAATTACGATAAGAGGAATTCCAATATGGGACAAATCGTAAGCAGCTGATACAATAACATGCTGTAGTCTATACGGTAACATATCTATAGCTCCAAATTGTCTCAGAATACGTAATACGACGGTCATCTGAAAACATCCAAATATTAAATTATTGAATTAACTATCAAATGTTAAACAACAATCAGCGTATAAGCGGAAACTGGAAGTACGAGCACGACGGACGACGAAAAAAGAGCAATCTACTCCTGTGAGTAAGGGGAATGTATGACAGCGGCTGCATTAATTAAGTAGGTTCTAGAGAGCCATGCGTAAGAAGATGTTTATGTCGCTGTACTCGATAAGAGATATTCAATAATTGAAAGCAAAAACAATCCTTTGATGGAAGCTGAAACCTTCGAAGGACCCGGCCCGGCTTCGGGATTACTCTGTTAGACAAAATCTACTACCCCTCTACCCTCAGCTTCTTTGTGGAAGGAGGATACAGAAACTTTTACGTTCATACCCTTCGCCAGCTCAGCAATCTACCATTTACCGACTCCATTAAAGGCACAGTTCACGATAGAAATGGTATCTGATAATGGTATCTGTATTCCCTACGGTATGAATTCGAGGCTCTTCCTCATCCATCCCTGCCGTTATAAGTTTGAAAAACGTCCGGCTAGGGCACAGACTCAGAGAGTGTATCGCGTGAATGCCACACCCATACTGGACGAGTTGCAACGGCTTTGTAGAGGTTGCACTATCTCAAGAGACCCCCATGCAGGAAGTTCAAACTTGTCATAACCCATGGCAGCAGTGAAAGGCCGATCGTACAACTTTGGTTTGATGTAGTCAGCTCTTTGCGCTGTGGGACCAAGTTAAATCTCGTCCAGACACTCCTTACATGCCATTCCCGTCACGGTAATCGCGTACACCTCCGCTTCCACTACTTTTAAAAACCCTTGAAGATAAGGGATTTTCTCGCTTTCTTCGCTACCGATGTACATCAACCTCTACATCAACACTTCCACTTTTCTATCTAAATGAGGTTCCTCAGAATAATCGTGAGCTGTACCTTTAATAGAGCTCTAAGAGGGTTGATGAAAGTGAGGTCAGCAGTTAGAAACCAAGACAGGGTTCGTCTGAATTGGACTCCCATTCATAGGGTCCAGTTCATATTGATCCTGACCTGTTCCTGACTGGCTTGCTTACTTTTGACAACTCTCCTATGTTGGGCACAGAGAGGGCACAGTAGTTTTATACGCATGGTTGTTAGCGGGCATTCTCGCGACATTCGTCTTTTACAATTATAATGTGGCTTTAGTCTATTTGATTGCGTTCGAACCCTTCAATAGCCGGGGTTTCAAAAGAGCCCTAGGTTCAGAGTGGACCAGGACTGGCATCATTTTTACAAGCCAGTGTTTGGATGCCGCAGAGGTCGAACTCACAGCCTTCATTAGTTTGGTTACATGAACCCACTCTGTCAGTACCGCCTCTATTGCTACCCTTATCATCATAAATGAACACAATGGATGACAGTAAAAGTTTTTTCCATGATTGGGTGAACATACCCAGAAAAACTCACCAGAGCGCATGCAAGAATAAAATGGCTTTGCCTCAGCATCGATTTTTCGGCCTTTCCAAGAAGTGTACGAGTGTCATTGGAGATAACAGTGGCTCCCTGCTTTTTCAATTTCATTGTGGTCATCATAAATAATCCACAGGTAACCAAATAGAGGCAAGCGAACAAGGTTTCAATGTGCTGAAATGAATCTTCCGGTAAAGGAACTGTGGAGGCTACTACAATACTTTGGCAATGCCCCTGGACAGCACTATACAACTGTGAATCGAATTCTGAATCAAAAGAGCTGAGAGAAAATAGAAAATAAATAGAGGTAGATATCTGCCTGGGCCAACCTAGCCCCTGCACCCTCCAGGGTCGGTTATTTGGTACCAGACGGTCTCTAAAGATAAGCGCATCAACTTCTTCATTGGTTGGCCCCAACAAGTCATCGTATCGGCCACATGCACATTCAGTGCGCCATTAGGATCTGACTGGAGGTCGAATGTGGGAGTTCATCCCTACCAGCAGCTGACATTAACTTCTTGTCCTTTAGGAAATGGTCCATGTGAGTGCTAACTTTGATGTGCTTTCAGAAGTTTGATAGCATCCAATCCAAGTACAATTACACCATGAAAAATAAAAGCGGAAAGAAGAAATCTCGTCCTCACCTTACCGCCCTCCCCTTCTGAAATTATTCCAGATGTTGCATTGTTAACACCTGCTGCTGAGGAAATAAAAAAATCTTCCAACATTTCATTAGATAATACGGCCGCTACAACGGAAATCACTAATGAAATGAATGCGCATATCAGAATAGTTTTCCTAAATGAAATTATGTATTCATCCGTATAAAAGGAGGGAAACTTTGTTCAAACTCCACTTTTAAACTTACTTGTTCTTTTCACAAAAACTTGATTTCTTTTTTATTTTGATGGGCCTTCCCATTGCACGTCAAATCTCAGGTTTTCCTTCTCATGTGCTCAGGCCTTTGAATTTTTAATTGGCGATGGTCATAATATTCAGACAAAACTTCTAAAGCGCAAATAGTTTGTCAGTTTCCGTTCAAAAAAAGTGTCGATGCTGAAGAGCTTCCCAGAAGCAATTTTCGCTCACACAATGTTAACATATCATTACCCTTTCTTTTAAAATGCTTTTTGAATGAGCAATTCCGCTTCTAGCGTCAAATCTCTTCAAAATAGATAACTACTCTTCAAAAACCGCTCTGATGACAGAATTCACGAAATCCATGACTCGTCGAGCTTATAAATTATCAGGGGTAGTGAATAAAGCCTGCCATTACATTTGTACCTTATTACATTAGTGACAACTGTAATACCGACCATAAGCGTTTCTGAAAACAGGCAGGGCTTCCCACTCCTTCGCTAACGGGAACGAAAATTTTACGAATTCCTTTAGAACAAAAGGCAAAGCGAAATAGCCTTCAAATGAAAGAAAGTTTGTATGGAATGAATAAAGCCTTTTTCATCCCTTCCCATGTGATGATTAAAGGGACAGGATCCTCTTCAGGTGTGTTGATGCAAGCAATAGGTCATTTACAGGGAAGGGCTTATGGCCAAGGAGGCAGAGTCATTCATGCAAACAGTCAGAGACCATAAAAACCAGGTGAGACCACCTCAAGTTCAACGAGACTTTCATGCTCTCGCTGTAGTCTAGTTGGAGATAGGCTTTTCTGAGGATTGGAGCTCACTGATTCCCATTCAGAGAACTTTTACACTGCCCATAAATTACGTACCTTTGCGAGAATTTGTCGCGAAACTTCCCCGTAGAAAATATGGCCAATCGATTAAGACCGATCAAAAATACCAGAAATGATGTGAAATAAAGAACTGTAGAAGTAGCGAAGTGGGCTAGTTCATGAATATCAGTGAAATAGCTTTTTCTAGAGATTTCTATAACAATTCGAAATACTACCATCGATCCATCCAGCAGAACAATGCTTGTATTGAAAATAAGTATAAGCGAATAATATGGTTTCTAAAACAATTTTATAGAAAAGCAAAAAATGACAAAATCCTTTCAAATTGGAAAAAACAAACTTGTAATAGTGTACGTTCCCTAATCAGGAGTGTTGCCACTGCTAAGTTGAATACACCAGAACAAAATCTCAAAAACCATAGAAAGTAATCTGCGATCACGTTGAAGACACCAGCTTCTTCGCCTAAAAAACTTCTCCGAATCTTCTCTGAGTAGAATTCTCCTGTGTAAAATTGGAAGGAGGAAACTCAAGAAAAGATTAGGACTATCACGTTGGCAGAAAAGTGTAATAATTTGACGAAAATCGAAGGGGCAGAAATTTAGGATAAACAATGTGAACATAGTAGCCAGGGTGAAAAAAATCTAGGACATTCCCCTGGCAACCGAAATGGGTCCATTGGACACACCAAATTCGTTCCATCATCTTCTACTA